GGGGAGGATTCTAAAGACCTTTCAGGTTTACCCGGTGTTTTTGCACTGCGAGATCGCGAAGTCACTGGACTGGACATTCCAACCACCTGTTGTTCACTGAATGGTGATAACCTCCCGTCGTCGGTGGCACCATGCACGTTTTGAGCGGTGCTCGAGGGGGCTCCTGGATCACTTTCTGTCGATTCCGCCGAGCTCTGTTGCCGATGCGCCGCCCGGGCGCCCGGCTTCTCTACCTGTCTAGCCGTCGCGTTGCCCTGCCCCGTTGCGTCGCCGAGTGCAGCGCGGGGCCCCCGACGGTGGTCCGGCTCGCCACGCCGCTCCGAGCGGCGCAGTGCTCGAGGATCTTGGGCGGCGGGCCGGGGTAACTCTTTAGTCTCCGAGAGTTGCGCGCAGAAATCCGCTCCGATGTGGTGATGTGGCGACGCGGGGTCGCGCTCGCCTGCCTGGCTCCTGCGTGTCCAGTGGGCCGTAGACGGGCTAACGGCGATGTAGGTAACGGCGATGTAGGTTTCGGTGTTGTGGGAACGCGTGGCTCGCGCTGTCCTACGCTTCGCTGTGTCGTGCTCGCTCGATCCATTCGCAGATTGGAAACGTAGGAAAGTGTGGATCGTGAGTTCCTACAACTTGGTTCCCAACATCAGCGTTGAGGAACACTGGTGTTAGCCCGGTGCTGGGTGGACTCCAGTCGCCATCGCGAGCGTCACGGCGGTGCGCTCGCGCTCCACCAGGGAGAAGTCCCAGAGATTGTTTGGCAATTACCTGATCATGAGTTCGTTATTCCAGGTGAGTTTCTCGATGAGCCTGGTCTCCATGTCGCTCGCTTCGTAGCGGGAAGATTCGCCGACTCCCTCTGGCACCCTCGTGCTGCGTTTGCTGCAAAACCTACTGCTGCCTCCTGGGCTTTGCATATGTGCTGACCGCGGCTATGGGGGGTGGACAGACCTCCTACCCTGACACGTCGATTAAGGAATTGGCCGTTTTCGCTTCTTGAGAGGGCGTCGCGGCCGTCATTTTTGCGGGTCCAGGTCCGTCGGTTTCGGTCCCAGGCCGTTTTTGCTAAGGGGAGGTCGACTAAAGGGAGGTTTGTCCACCGCCGAGGCTAGCCGGGATATCCGCCGAGACGCCATCGGACCTGTCTTTTTGAGCATGTGACTGTCCAGTTCGGTGTCGTCCTGCCCACTGCAGCCGCAATTGTATAATTAGTGCTCTTCGGGCCGAAGTTTAGGGGGAGTCGAGTGCGTCTGGCATGATTTCGGTGTGCGCCTTGGCATCACTGCTGCATGCCGAAAACAAGATCTCCGAGACGCGAACGATGCATGGCATGGGGAACGCGCCCTTCTTTGAACCAGCATATCATAGAAAGAGCTGGCACGTCGACGACGACGACGACGACGACCACGACGACGACGACCACGACCACGACCACGACGGCGTCGTCGACGACGACGGCGACGACCGCGGAGTCCGCGGCGGCGGCCGCGGCTGTGGTGGGCCGCGGCGGCGCGCGGCCAGCGCGCGCCGGAGGAGCCTCGAGGCCCGGGTGCGGAGGCGGGCACTGCCCCACCTGAGGGCCTCCCGCGCCACCTCCCTCGGCCGCTCACTCCGGAGGTCCTCTCCTCTAGGCCTCCCAGATTGGGTGATGTCGGGCCTGTCCCCCTACAGGGGGATTTTCGACGAAAATAAAAAGTACCCCCAAAACAGTCCAAAAATAGTCACAACATAGTCTGGGGACTATTTGTTGAGCATTGTTTGCCTTTTTGGAGCATTTTGGGTGTATTCATTCTTTCCGTCGAAAATCCCCCTGTGGGGGGACAGGCCCGACATAACTCTAGGCCTCCCAGATTGGGTCGGAGTACCCTCGGACCGAGGTGTAAGATCGGGGTCGGTTCGGGGAGGATGCCCTAGGGCTTTTCGCGCTTTCATGTTCTCGTGCACTCTGGGGGGGTACCTGTGGATGTTCTGTGTGTTTTGGCCGGCGGAGTGTCTCATGTTCTGGAGGGATGTTCTTCTGGCCCAGGTCCGAATGCAGATGGGGTCGGAGGATGGCTCTGCATCGCCGGTGCATCGGCGATGCGGCTCGATGTGAAGCTCGATTTTCGCCACGCCCACGGCGGCGATGCACGTCGGCGTCGCCGATGCATCGGCAACGCATCGCCATCGCCGATGCATCGGCTAGGCGGCGCGACCCTCCGACCCCATCCACTTGGACCCCATCGGTACGAAATTTGCTGCATGCAGCTGGTTTCGGTCTCACCGAGGGGCCCATTCTTCGATACACAGCCGCCTCCGGCGCCGGGAGGCGCCGGGAAAATCGGCTAAGTGAGCTGATTCTCTACCTCTCCCTTTTTGCTATCCCCCCCTTGCGCCCGACCCGAATCTGGGAGGCCTTTCGATCCCCTGCCCCGCCCGAGGGCCCGTTTGAAGCGGCCCCCGTTGGCCTCGTCCAATCGGAGGCGGGGGTGGAGCAGAGGCGGCCTCTGCCACCGCCCAGGGGGGCCACGCCTACAGCGACGAGGAGGGCCACGGGCGCCTCCCCGAGCGGGGGGTGGGGGGACGTCTCGAGCGAGAGGGAGGGACCACACCACCAGGGCACGTCAGGCGTGCCCCTTCTACAGGAGGAATCTTCAAAAATAGCAAAACATGATCGACCCACGAACCCGGAAAGGAATACAGAAATGTAAGGCATTGCAACATTTCAAAGACACCTGATTGGGCGACGGGCACATGCAATGCTGAATGTATCGATGATGATGTACTGTGCCGAGGGCTGTGCTGTGCTGGGCCGTGCTGAACTGCGATGTGCCATGCCGCGATTGTGCTCTATATAGCGTTGTGGATCGAGTCCTCCCTGGCATCCGAGTCCTCACCGAACTGATCTGGATCGTAAGCTCGAGCTGTCTGAGCAGATGGTAGCTGCCCCAGATCTATTCGACAGAGGGAACATGCCTGGAGGACGCGCTGCGGAACGTCCGAAGGGACGCGCCAGGCGACGTGCCAGGGGACGTGCCATGGGCACGCACCGCGGGACGTGCCAAGGGGACGCGCTACGGAACGTGCCAATGGACGTGCCGAGGGACGTGCCAGGGGACGCGCCGCGCGACGTGCCAGGTGGACTCGCCACGGAACGCGCCAAGGAACGTGCCAAGGTGCATAGTTGAGTGTATCGATCTTGATGTACCGTGCCGACGGCTGTGCTGTGCTGGGCCGTGCTGAACTGCGATGTGCCATGCCGCGATTGTGCTCTATATAGCGTTGTGGATCGAGTCCTCCCTGGCATCCGAGTCCTCACCGAACTGATCTGGATCGTAAGCTCGAGCTGCCTGAGCAGATGGTAGCTGCCCCAGAACTAATCGACAGAGGGAACATGCCAAGAGGACGCGCCGCGGAACGTCCCAAGGGACGCGCCAGGCGACGTGCCAGGGGACGTGCCATGGGCACGCACCGCGGGACGTGCCAAGGGGACGCGCTACGGAACGTGCCAATGGACGTGCACCGCGCGACGTGCCAGGGGGACTCGCCACGGGACGCTCCGCGGAACGTGCCAGGCAACATGCCAGGCTGCAATGCTAAGGGTATCGATATTGATGTACCGTGCCGAGGGCTGTGCTGTGCCTGGGCGACCTGGACACGTGAAAACACGCGTTTCGCTCAAGACGTTGTCAGCACATCCTCATGCTATCCGCCTGGGCAACCTGGACACGTGCAAACAAGCGTCTCGCTCGAGACATCCTCAACAAATGCTCATGCTAGACATCCGCCTGGGACGACCTGGACACGTGAACACAAGCCTCTGGTTCGAGACGTCCTCAACAAATCCTCATGCTAGACATCTGTCTGGGCCACCTGGAGGCGTGAAACCAAGCGTCTCGCTCGAGACATCCTCAAGACCTGGGCACGTGAAAACAAGCAATCCACTTGAGAGATCCTCAGAATTTAGACGCGCCAGGCGACGTGCCAGGGGACGTGCCATGGGCACGCACCGCGGGACGTGCCAAGGGGACGCGCTACGGAACGTGCCAATGGACGTGCCGAGGGACATGCCAGGGGACGCGCCGCGCGACGTGCCAGGTGGACTCGCCACGGAACGCGCCAAGGAACGTGCCAAGGTGCATAGTTGAGTGTATCGATCTTGATGTACCGTGCCGACGGCTGTGCTGTGCTGGGCCGTGCTGAACTGCGATGTGCCATGCCGCGATTGTGCTCTATATAGCGTTGTGGATCGAGTCCTCCCTGGCATCCGAGTCCTCACCGAACTGATCTGGATCGTAAGCTCGAGCTGCCTGAGCAGATGGTAGCTGCCCCAGAACTAATCGACAGAGGGAACATGCCAAGAGGACGCGCCGCGGAACGTCCCAAGGGACGCGCCAGGCGACGTGCCAGGGGACGTGCCATGGGCACGCACCGCGGGACGTGCCAAGGGGACGCGCTACGGAACGTGCCAATGGACGTGCACCGCGCGACGTGCCAGGGGGACTCGCCACGGGACGCTCCGCGGAACGTGCCAGGCAACATGCCAGGCTGCAATGCTAAGGGTATCGATATTGATGTACCGTGCCGAGGGCTGTGCTGTGCCTGGGCGACCTGGACACGTGAAAACACGCGTTTCGCTCAAGACGTTGTCAGCACATCCTCATGCTAGACATCCGCCTGGGCAACCTGGACACGTGCAAACAAGCGTCTCGCTCGAGACATCCTCAACAAATGCTCATGCTAGACATCCGCCTGGGCGACCTGGACACGTGAAAACAAGCCTCTGGTTCGAGACATCCTCAACAAATCCTCATGCTAGACATCTGTCTGGGCCACCTGGAGGCGTGAAACCAAGCGTCTCGCTCGAGACATCCTCAAGACCTGGGCACGTGAGAACAAGCAACCCACTTGAGAGATCCTCAGAATTCAGGTCCCCAGGAGAGGACAATCTATAACACACAACAAGCGTTTCGCTCGAGACATCCTCAACAAACTCTGAAAGACAAGCGTTTCGCTAGGGACAGCCTGAAATTTTAATTAGCCGGCCCTCTTCCCATTCGTTATTTATCGCAAAAGAAAGCAGCCGGCCCTCTTCCCGTCAAAACCGGGGGGAACCTACTAAAAGATAACCCTGGGCCTACGCCCTTTCCGGGACATGATCGACCCACGAACCCGGCAAAGAATATAGAAATGTAACGCATAGCAGCGTTTTCAAAGACACTTGATTGGGTGACGGGCCAGGTTGCAATGCTGATTGTATCGATCTTGATGTACGGTGCCGAGGGCTTTGCTGTGCTGCACCGTGCTGAATTGCGATGTGCCATGCCGCGGTTGTGCTCTATAGCGTCGTGGATCGAGTCCTCCTTTGCATCCGAGTCCTGACCGAACTGATCTGGATCTTAAGCTCGAGCTGCCTGAACACATAGTATCTGCCCCAGAGCTAATTGACAAGGGGACATGCCAGGAGGACGCGCCGCGAAACGTCCCATGGGACGCGCCAGGCGACGTGACAGGGGACGTGCCATGGGGTCGCACCGCGGGACGTGCCAAAAGGACGCGCTACGGAACGTGCCAATGGATGTGCCACGGAATGTGCCAGGGGACGCGCCACGCGATGTGCCAGGGGGACTCGCCAAGGGACGCCCCACGGAACGTGCCAAGGAACGTGCCAAGTTGTATAGTTGAGTGTATCGATTTTGATGTACCGTGCCGAGGGCTGTGCTGTGCTGCACCGTGCTGAATTGCGATGTGCCATGCCGCGGTTGTGCTCTATAGCGTCGTGGATCGAGTCCTCCGTTGCATCCGAGTCCTGACCGAACTGATCTGGATCTTAAGCTCGAGCTGCCTGAACACATAGTATCTGCCGCAGGGCTAATTGACAGGGGGACATGCCAGGAAGACGCGCCGCGGAACGTCTCAAGGGACGCGCCAGGCGACATGCCAGTGGACGTGCCATGGGGACGCACCGCCGGACGTGCCAAGGGGACGTGCTACGGAACGTGCTGGGGACAAGCGTTTCGCTCGAGACATCCTGTCAAAATCCTCATTCTAGACATCCGCCCGAGCGACCTTGACACGTGAAAACAAACGTTTCGCTCAACACATCCTCAACACGTTGTCATGCTAGGCATCCGCCTGGGCGAACTGGACACGTGAAAACAAGTAGTTCGCTCGAGACATCCTCAGCACATCTTCATGTGAGACGTCCGCCTGGGTGACCTGGGCACGTGAAAACAAGCGTTTCGCTCGAGACGTTTTCAACACCTCCTCATTCTAGACATCCGCCTTGGCGACCTGTACACGTGAAAGCAAACGTCTCACTCGAGACATCCTCAACACATCTTCATGTTAGACATCCGCCTGGGCGACCTGGACACGTGAAACCAAGCGTCTCGCTCGAGACATTCTCAACACATCCTCATGCTAGGCATCCGCCTGGGCAACCTGGACACGTGCAAACAAGCATCTCGATCGAGACTTCCTCAACACCTCCTCATTCTAGACATCCGCCTGGGCGACGAGGACGCGTGAAACCAAGCGTCTCGCTCGAGACATCCTCAACAAATCCTGGCGCTTGACCTCTGCCTGGGCAACCCGGAGGCGTGAAACCAAGCGTCTCGCTCGAGACATCCTCAAGACCTGGGCACGTGAAACCAAGCATTTCACTTGAGAGATCCTCTAAATTCAGGTCCCCAGGAGAGGACAATCTATAACACAAAACAAGCCTTTCGCTCGAGACATCCTGAATTCAGAAAAACAAGCGTTTCGCTCGAGACATCCTCACATTTTCATTCGCCGGCCCTCTTCCCACTCGTTATTTATCGCAAAAGAAATCTGCCGGCCCTCTTCCCGTCAGATCCGCGGGTAAACAGCCAAAAGAGAACCCTGCGCTTGCGCCCTTTCCGGGAAAAAAACATGATCGACCCACGAACCCGGAAAGGAATATAGAATTGTAACACATGGCAGCGTTTTCAAAGACATCTGGTTGGGTGACGGGCAAATGCAATTCTGAAGGTATCGATCTTGATGTACCCTGCCGAGGGCTGTGCTGTGCTGCACCGTGCTGAATTGCGATGTGCCATGGCGCGATTTTGCTCTATAGCCTCGTGGATCGAGTCATCCTGTGCATCCGAGTCCTGACCGAACTGATCTGGATCTTAAGCTCGAGCTGCCTGAACACATAGTAGCTGCCCCAGAGCTAATTGACAGGGGGACATGCCAGGAGGTCGCGCCGCGGAACGTCTCAAGGGACGCGCCAAGCGACGTGCCAAGGGACGTGCCATGGGGTCGCACCGCGGGACGTGCCAAGGGGACGCGCTACGGAACGTGCTGGGGAAAAGCGTTTCGCTCGAGACATCCAGTCAAAATCCAAGGAAATCCTGGCAAAACAAACGGAGTAGTCAAGACATCCTCGAAATTCCTGCGCGCGGGACGCGTTACGCGCGAGACATCCTCGGAATTCCTGCGAGCGGGACGTGAAAACAAGCATTTTGCCTCAGACATCCTCTGAATTCTGGCCCCCTACGAGGCCCCCGCTCGAGACATCCCCCAAGTTTGCACAACCAGTGTTTCGCTCGAGACATCCTCAACAAATTATGAACAGTTTTCAAAAACCAGCGTTTCGCTCGAAACGTCTTCAACAAATTATGAAAGACAAGCATTTCGCTCGAGACATCCTGCCAAAATTCAAAGAAATCCCGCAAAACAAACGAATTAGTCGAGACATCCTCGAAATTCCTGCGCGCGGGACGCCGCACGCGCGAAACAGCATCGGAATTCCTGCGCGCGGGACGCTTTTCCGCGTCGCTGTCGGCTCTGCAAAACCAGCGTTTCGCTCGAGACATCCTCAACAAATTCTGAAAACAAGCGTTTCGCTAGAGACATCCCCAACTCTGCAAAACCAGCGTTTCGCTCGAGACATCCTCAACAAATTCTGAAAACAAGCGTTTCGCTAGGGACATCCTCAAACATTTCACTACACCCGCGCTCCCAGGGCCACGATCCCTAGTAAATTACGCTACGTCAGCGCTCCCAGGGCCACGATCCCTCGTAAGGGCTCCTGGGCCCTCCTGGGTCTTCCTTGGACCTCTTGGGCCCTCCTGGGCTCTCCTGGAGCCTCCTGGAGCTTCTCCTGGGCCCTCCTTGGGCCCCCTGGTGCCTCTTGGAGCCTCCTGGGTCCTCCTGGGCCCTCCTGGGCTCTCCTGGGCCCTCCTGGGCTCTCCTGGGCTCTCCTGGAGCCTCCTGGGCCCTCCTGGGCGAAGTCAAGGTCTGAAAACACATGGGACTTGCCACATTTCTGAAATTCGGTGCCACCCCTCACGCAGGTCGGCGGGGTCAGGATCCGAAAACACATGGGATTTGCCACATTTCTAGAATTCCGTGCCACCCCTCACGCAGATCGGCGGGGTCAGGGTCCAAAAACACATGGGATTTGCCACATTTCTGGAATTCCGTGCCACCCCTCACGCAGATCGGCGGGGTCAGGGTCCAAAAACACATGGGATTTGCCACATTTCTGAAATTCGGTGCCACCCCTCACGCAGATCCGCGGGGTCAGGGTCCAAAAACACATGGGATTTTTGTTATTTTCGAACTTATGCAACTTCAAGAATCCAAAACTCCGTTCCCAGCGCCGTTCCGGAGGCCGCGGTACCTCGTTATTTATTGAGCGAACGCGTTTACTTTGTTTTTTATCGTTTAAAGTCGCTGTCGGAAAAAAGTTGGCTTCACCTGTGAAATATCGAGGTTTCCTTAAAGGCAGTAAAATTCCAAGAGCACGATCTGCGTGAGGGGTGACAAAAATTGCCTTCGTCCTCACAATTGAAATCCGCCGGCCCCCTTCGACCTCGTAATTTATCGCACAAGAAATCCGCCGGCCCCCTTCAAGTAAAAACCGAGAGGGTAAACACACTAAAAGAGAACCCTGGGCCCACGCCCTTTCCGGGAAAAAGTCTGGGGACGATTCTTGGACTATGTTTGACTACCTTTTTGAGCCTTTGTTAACAATGCTTTGTTTTTCGTCCAAGATCCGCGTATAGGGGGACATGCTCGACCTAACACCAGGGGGACCCCGCCTGGTTCTTCCAGCCGCTCGCGCTCTTGGTCCCTGGTGGTGGTGGAGGTGCCGATTTTCTGTATTCCTAACAGAAGCGGAGTTGTTCAATACGTGGGCGATGCCTTGCTGGAAGTTGTCCACTTGTAACACCGCTCGCTCCTACAGGGGGAGCACTTTGAAGCGAGTCCTGATCTTCTCGCCCGTAAGCTCCAAGACAAAGCAAAACTTAGGATCACCCTCTCGCTCTTCCTCCCTTCGCCTCCCCTTCAGAGGAGGAGAGGCGTCTGATGCTCGAGGATCGAGGCTTCGAGAATTGATGTCTCGGGGGTCGAGGTTTTTCTGAGTCTTCTATTTTTTTCCGGGCCTGGGAGGCCTCTCGTTGCGCGGCTGGATTATCTTCGGGATCAATGTCAAGATTGGGCGACGAGGGCGGGACTCCGGACCGGGGGGCCACGCGTCGCCGCTTGTGTATTCCTTTTGCTTCGCCGATCGACTAAGCACCGGCCCAGACCCTCTTCCTCTTCTTCCTCCTCCTCCTCTTCCTCCTCTTCCTCCTCCTCCTCCACTTCCTCTTCCTCCCCTTCCTCCTTCCTCCTCCTCCTCATCTTCCTCCTCTTCCTCCTCCTCCTCCTCCTCCTCTTCCTCCTCCGCCTTCTCCTCTCAAACCCCCACCCCCACCGTTCGGCAAATACTAAAATCCAGAATTTTATACAACAAACATGTTAATCAAGTACCTCCGCTAATGAGGGGGACGGGCTTTGGCCCCTCGCGATGCTCGGCATCGGCATTGGTCGGACGTGTGCATTGTTTGGCGGCGAGGGCCATCGAGGGGCATACTGGACCATCTTGCGAAGAAAACAAACGCACGAAGCAGAACATGATCGACCCACGAACCCGGAAAGGAATATAGAACTGTAACACATGTCAGCGTTTTCAAAGACACCTGATTGGGTGACGGGCAAATGCAATGCTGAAGGTATCGATCTTGATGTACACTGCCGAGGGCTGTGCTGTGCTGCGCCGTGCTGAATTGCGATGTGCCATGGCGCGATTGTGCTCTATAGCCTCGTGGATCGAGTCCTCCTTTGCATCCGAGTCCTGACCGAACTGATCTGGATCTTAAGCTCGAGCTGCCTGAACACATAGTAGCTGCCCCAGAGCTAATGGACAACGGGACATGCCAGGAGGACGCGACGCGGAACGTCTCAAGGGACGCGCCAAGCGACGTGCCAAGGGACGTGCCATGGGAACGCACCGCGGGACGTGCCAAGGGGACGCGCTACGGAACGTGCTGGGGACAAGCGCTTCGCTCGAGACATCCTTTCAAAATCATCAGAATTCCTACGCGCGGGACGCGGCACGCGCGAGACATCCTCGGAATCCCTGCGAGCGGGACGTGAAAACAAGCATTTCGCCTGAGACATCCTCTGAATTCTGGCCCCCCACAAGGCCCCCGCTCGAGACATCCCCCAAGTTTGCAAAACAAGCGTTTCGCTCGAGACATCCTAAACAAATTATGAAAAAACAAGCGTTCGTTCGAGACATCCTGTCAAAATCCAAGGAAATCCAAGCAAAACAAGCGAATTCGTTGAGACATCCTCAACATTCCTACGCGCGGGACGCAACACGCGTGAGACATCCTCTGAATTCCTGCGAGCGGGACGTGAAAACAAGCATTTCGCCTGAGACATCCTCTGAATTCTGGCCACCCACGAGGCCCCCGCTCGAGACATCCTCAAATTTTGCAAAGCCAGCGTTTCGCTCGACACATCCTCAACAAATTATGAAAAAAACAAGCGTTTCGCTGGAGTCATCCTGTCAACATTCCAAGAAATCATCGCTAAACAAACGAATTAGTCGAGACATCCTCAAAATTCCTGCGCGCGGGACGCGGCACGCGCGAGACATCCTCGGAATTCTTGCGAGCGGGACGTGAAAACAAACATTTCGCCTGAGACATCCTCTGAATTCTGGCCCCCCACGAAGCCCCCGCTCGAGACATCCTCCAATTTTGCAAAGCCAGCGTTTCGCTCGACACACCCTCAACAAATGATGACAAACAAGCGTTTCGCGCGAGACATCCCGTCAACATCCAAAACAATCATGGCAAAACGCACGAATTAGCCGAGACATCCTCAACATTCCTGCGCGCGGGACGCGGCACGCGCGAGACATACTCGGAATTCCTGCGCGCGGAGCGCTTTTCCGCGTCGCGGTCGAGGCTCCAGACACCGTTATTTGTCGAGGATTATACGAAAAACGCTCCGCATTTTTTTAAACAAAGGAAAACGGGGGTCGATCCGAGATGGGGGGCGCACTTTCCTCGAGCGGGCACGCACGAAACGCACTTTTTCAAAATTACACTACACCCGCGCTCCCAGGGCAACGATCCCTCGTAAATTACGCTACGTCAGCGCTCCCAGGGCCACGATACCTCGTAAGGGCTCCTGGGCCCTCCTGGGTCTTCCTTGGACCTCTTGGGCCCTCCTGGGCTCTCCTGGAGCTTCTCCTGGGCCCTCCTTGGGCCCCTCTGGTGCCTCTTGGAGCCTCCTAGGTCCTCCTGGGCCCTCCTGGGCTCTCCTGGGCCCTCCTGGGCTCTCCTGGGCTCTCCTGGAGCCTCCTGGGCCCTCCTGGGCGAAGTCAAGATCCGAAAACACATGTGACTTGCCACATTTCTGAAATTCGGTGCACCCCTCACGCAGGTCGGCGGGGTCAGGATCCGAAAACACAGGGGAGTTGCCACATTTCTGTAATTCCGTGCCACCCCTCACGCAGATCGGCGGGGTCAGGGTTCAAAAACACAGGGGATTTGCCACATTTCTGGAATTCCGCGCCACCCCTCACGCAGATCGGCGGGGTCAGGGTCCAAAAACACATGGGATTTGACACATTTCTGGTATTCCGTGCCACGCCTCACGCAGATCGGCGGGGTCAGGGTCCAAAAACACAGGGGATTTCTGTTATTTCAGAACTTATGCAACTTCAAGAATCCAAAACTACGTTCCCAGCGCCGTTCCGGAGGCCGCGGTACCTTGTTATTTATCGAGCGAACGCGTTTACTTAGTTCCCAACCATCCTGTGGTGTTGGGTCCTCGTTTTGAAGAGACGGTGCCCCGCGTTCCCCTTCCTTCCTTCCTTCCTTCCTTCCTCCCGCTGCCTCCTCCCCCCTCCCATCATCATCATCATCATCAACACCCAATTCGGCACACCCCTCACACGTTTCGTGGCTCCATAGGGAGCTCCACCGAAGGCCCCAGTGGCCGCGGCCGCATGCGTCACCCACACCCATTTCGGCACACCCCTCACACGTTTCGTGGCTCCATAGGGAGCTCCACCGAAGGCCCCAGTGCCCGCGGCCGCATGCGTCACCCACACCCATTTCGGCACACCCCTCACACGTTTCGTGGCTCCATAGGGAGCTCCACCGAAGGCCCCAGTGCCCGCGGCCGCATGCGTCACCCACACCCATTTCGGCACACCCCTCACACGCTTCGTGGCTCCATAGGGAGCTCCACCGAAGGCCCCAGTGCCCGCGGCCGCATGCGTCCCCCACACCCATTTCGGCACACCCCTCACACGTTTCGTGGCTCCATAGGGAGCTCCACCGAAGGCCCCAGTGCCCGCGGCCGCATGCGTCACCCACACCCATTTCGGCACACCCCTCACACGTTTCGTGGCTCCATAGGGAGCTCCACCGAAGGCCCCAGTGCCCGCGGCCGCATGCGTCACCCACACCCATTTCGGCACACCCCTCACACGTTTCGTGGCTCCATAGGGAGCTCCACCGAAGGCCCCAGTGCCCGCGGCCGCATGCGTCACCCACACCCATTTCGGCACACCCCTCACACGTTTCGTGGCTCCATAGGGAGCTCCACCGAAGGCCCCAGTGCCCGCGGCCGCATGCGTCACCCACACCCATTTCGGCACACCCCTCACACGTTTCGTGGCTCCATAGGGAGCTCCACCGAAGGCCTCAGTGCCGCCGCCCGCATGCGTCACCCCCACCCATTTCGGCACACACCCCGCATTTCTCGCACGGCAGGGTCATCACCACGGTGGCGTGCCAGGGGCGCACCATGCGCGAAGGCGACGGGGCGGGGGAACGGCGCTCCGGGGGCGGCCAGACCTCCGGGGCGCGAGCAGTCCGCGGCCAGACCATCTCTCGGTCCTGTGGACTCTCGCCCTGGGCCGTCGGCTGCCCGGCGCGCTGCTCCCTCGGTCGACGTCGCCCAGGCGTGATCCTGGATTGCGGCCGCCACGAGGTAGGGAACGGCAAGAAGGAGGACGACGACTGGTGGCTGGAGCTCTACGTGCTGCTCTCGCGCGCCACGCGCCACGAGGACCTCCTGCTCATGCGGGCGCCGCGCATCGAGTTCTTCCTGGCAGGGCCGCCGCAGGGCTTGCGGAAGCAGCTGGAGCAGTTTGCGGCGCGCACGAAGCGGTGCAGGAGGGAAGCGACGGCCCTCGCCAGGGAGCTCGGCTTCACCGAGTTCATCCGCGAGGCCTGACCTGAGGAGCGTCTCCCCCGAGCCGCGCCTTCTCTCGACTGCCCGACTAATTGTTTGGCCTCGCGCCGCGGACGACCCGCGCGCGTCGCTGGGACCCTCTCGGGGCGACCAGCGCGCGTCGCGGGAACTCCGTGCTGCGGGGGGCCCGGCGCCTCGTTCGCCCGTCGTCGCTCTGCCCAGCGGTCAGAGACTTGCCCGCTATCAGCCAGCCAGTTAGCTAGTCAGCTCTCTCTGCTTCGCGCAGCGGACGACCCGCGCGCGTCGCTGGGACCCCGCCCGGGGCGACCAGCGCGCGTCGCGGGGACTCCGCGCTGCGCTGCGCCCGCAGCCTTGGATTTTGGAGTGCGCGGGCAAAGAGGAAGGAAAAGAAGAGCCGAAAGCGGGCGCGATCCTCGCAAGAGGCGCGCCGACATGGGCGTCGCGACGTGCGGACGCTGCCGTCGGGGTTCCCGCGGAAGCTGCCTGCGGCGGCCACGCCCAGTGTCACGTGTGTTCGGACAGGCATGCTCGACACTTACACTAGGCGGTTCCATGATCGCATTCATGCAAATATATTCACTCGCGCGCAGACCCATTCATACTCAGATTCCCTCGCGCTCTGACTCACCCGCGTTCTTTCTCTCGTAATCAGATCTATCGTATTCCTTTGCGTTGTGTACCCCGCCACATTTCGGCACACCCCTCATGCGGTTCGTGGCCCCATAGGGAGCGCCGCCGAAGAAGATACTCA